CCCCCCCCGGCCTCGCTTACTTGGCCAAAGAACTCCACAATGTCTTTTTTCCTTTAGTACCATCACCGTCTGGAATACAAATCGGGTTTTTGGGGGTTTTTTTTGTTTTTTTTTTTGACCTAAGCAAACGCTAATTACCCTGTCAGTTGGCAATTTGTGTGAAAATTAGCTGGGTTCTACCGCTCTCCTCAGAAAGCAGCACTGTACAGAAAATAACAAATTAAATCATTCATGAGATTTTTTTCCCTAAGTATAATGCACGGAGAAGTGGAAAAAACCACTTAGGCAGGGTGAAACATGAAATAAATGGGTTAAACGTGCAGCAGTGCAAATATAAATCAGCAGTAAGTCTTTCCCATCATCAGCAAATAGTCGCGTAATTGCTCTGTAAAAAACAAATACGACTATATTGTTAATTCAATAATGTAATGTATTCTGTTAATGTAAATGTATTTTGTATTATTCACTTCAGTAATGCTTAGTGGGACCTAAACAAGGAACTTAATATAGACATCACAAAAAGTGGAATTAAAAAAATCAATGGCAAAAAACTTAATTAGTATTACCCTGGGTCCTTTTAACTTTGTAAGTAAAAAGATACGCTATCCATCTAGACCCCAGTATATTCATAGTTCTGTTGCCTCTGTATGCCTATATATGTCATTTCTCACCCGTGTTGCATCTCCGTCCTGCTTTATCATATCCATTCCAGGCAGCTGGTTTGGAAAAAGATTGCCTCCCCTCATAGCAGGATCATTAACCTATTGGTAACAAGACATTAAGGAGAATGAATTAAAAAAAAAAAAAAAACCACACATCAGGAAGAGGGCTGGGAATTAAAAAGAAGCATTATAAACCACTGTGCTACTTGCATATACCAGCATTGACTTCTGATATGATCTTGCAATGGGGGAAGTGACTATATAGCTGAGCAACCTTCTTGTGCAGCATCTCTGACTCATATGCTTCTGCTTCACAGTCAACAACAAAGATTTTATTCCTGATACTATTACCCTTGCACACATTTCACACAACAGGCTCCATAAATTAAGTCAGTATTATTAGAAGAGGACATGCCTGCCACGAGTGTCCTGAAAGCAGAAACGCCTAACTGCTTTCCTAACCTCAATAACACACAGCTTTTCTGCTGGCAAACCACCACACCATTTTTTCAAAGCCTGATGAGGTAACACGTAGGCTGAATTATCCCAACTATTGACTTAGTTTTAATGAGACTTATTTTTTCTGCTCGTAAGGGAAAGGGAGGAAGATGGCATTAAATGGGAAAACCTGCAGCTGCATGTTTTCCTAAAGGGATGGTCTCAACAATTTCCTGAACACAGCCACAGGAAAGTACTGAAGCTGTGTGCTTCTGCACAACCAAAGGGTCTGTCATGCTTAGTTATGTGGAAAGAGTGGCTTGCCAAATGTACAGCATTGCTTTCTAAATCAAAGGATTAATCTCACTGTGCAGGAACTGGTATAAAATACAAAACACAGCCCTTCAGCATGGTTCTGCAATAGTAGAAAATCCAGATTTCCTGAGAAGTTTTACACGGAAAGAAATGTCTTCCTAGGGAGTCTTTGTTGACTCGGTTCTGTCGCTTCCCTCAGACTAGATGGATATGCTAACAGCGAAGATATGCCCCTCCAGATTTTGCTGGAGGAAAAAAAGATGTTTTCTGTGTCACCTGCTCTTTAGGAGACTCGTGTTGCCAAGGAGAGGACATTCTGCCACTGCACTACCTCGCTTCAGCTCCAGCAACCTGCTGCAGCAAGGGGGGAAGGCTGTCTTGAATTTACCACACCAAAGCCTTCTCGTTTCAGGTCCTCCTGACTGTTGTTTCTGTTGCTATTCACCAATTTTGCAAAACGTCACAAAGCTAAATGCAATCACATACAACCACCTAAAGAGGTGGTTCCAAATGCTGCCTGAGACAAGACTGCAGTTCAACAGGGAAGGTCAGAAACGTAAATATTTTTGCCACAGGAATTTCAACTCTGAAGAAACTGATTGCTTAGCGCTGCAAGCCTTCTAGTGTTGCTTTCTGCTTTTTAATACAAATAGGCAGATTTTTAAACCTGAATCTGAAAATTTAAATCAGAAGGCAAGAGAACCACACAGTTTTGTTCGGAGAGAAAGAAAGTAGACAGCTTTGCAGCTTTATCTACATGCATTTGACTAAGCAACAGAATCCACCTTTGGAAAGTGTTTTCTGCTATTAATCAACATTCATCAGAATGCACAGGCACAAATGCCTTTTTTGTTTGTTCAGTAAACAAAGGAAGAAAAAATAAAAACAAATTAAAAATTGTATACTGAAATCAATTGCGGTTTTGGAGCAAAAAGATGAGTGCATGATTTGCAGAGTTAGGAGAGGTACAGAAAAAGAAGATGGTTCCAGGCTGCATGCCACAAAAGCAGCAAAGGCACCAGTGAAGTTCCTATCACAGAATCCTTTTGCCAGTGATGATGCAAGAATCCTGACCGGCACAGTAACAGATAAAAAAAAAAATCTACCGCTTTGTTATATGAATACATTTGCTTCTTAAGCCCTTGAAACAAAACACTCCCAATTCACACATCAACTTTTCTGACTGCAATAACAATTCAATCAGAAAAGTATGGAGAAGGACAAAGAAACTGAAGGGTTTTTATCATTTTCTGAAGACAGATCAAGTGGTGTTATCAGATATGAAATCTCACTAAAATGAGACAGAAGATATTTTACAATCCCTTTGCAATCAAGCACATTAATAAAGCCTCCTGCTAATAAAGCAGAATTATATACAAGGTGTCTAATAAGAAAAGTATCCTACTGCTCCAGAGCTCCTTTCATCCAGTATGCTGAACAAAATCAAAACACTGTATCAAGATAAGTCTTTGTAGGTGCCATGATAATTTTGGCCTGGGAAGTACTACACCTGTGCAGACTAATAAACATTTACTCTGAGCGGACATCTAGATAGCGGTTCATTTCATATACTGAAAAGTGTCTTCTCTTGCTTCTCTGACAACTCAGTAAGTAACATGGATCTGTGATGCAAAATAAAAAACAGGCAAAAATATGGCAACAGTCCATTGTGCAAACAAGACGACGATGACGACAAGGACACAGTAAGTTGTGTCAACGATGCAACACTGGGAAGGTTTAGACTTTCTCAATGCCTGGGAAAGCTGTTTTGGACAGAAGGAACCCGCAGACCTGGCAGCCAGCATTTCAGCGTTCCTGCTACAGCCTCCTAGAAGACACACTAGTAAGAGCAGCCTAGTCAGCTTTAACTTAATTTTAGAGGAAAAGATGATAATGGGACAGGATCTGATCCCTCAAGTACATAAAAGAGTCTCTAAGCATCATAAATAGCAAACCCAGGGAAAACACAAGATTTTGGGTAAAATCTTCATTTTCTACTTGGTGATGCTGGGAACTTCGATAGTAAACAAGAGAAGCTGGAGATATACCAGTATGAGCAGATAAACACAAACGTAGTATTTTTTAACTCTGAACATGTCTACATGATACAGCACAGTGCCACGAAGAGAGAAAGGAGACAGAGCCAAACCAATCTGCTTGGTACTGAAGGTAATATACTTGCTTCTCACTAGGTAAATAAGCCCAGGCACACCTTTTTACTAACAAGTAATACACATTACTTCCAAAACCATCCAATAACATATGAAATGTTAAGGGTTTTTTTCGAAAGCTGGAACACATTCGTAGCATAATTGTTGTTACTCACTCTGGTTAGAAAGAGATGAACATGTGAAGTTAAAATTATGTATTATGGAACCAAAAAATGGCAATGAATAAGTAAGTAAAAGTATAGGTGACTGTATAAAAAAAGCCAAAAGAATGAATGAAATGGCAACAGTCAGCAGAATTAAATAAAATATAGTCATTTTGAAAACGACCAGTTACAAGAAAACGTTTAGCACAGCCTAGGTCAATTGCTAAATAAAGACGCCAAATTGTAAACACTATGCCCTGATCACAGAAAAAAAAAATAAATTTAGTGTTAATAGAAACATTTTTATTTATTCCTGTCCCTCGGAAAAGAAAATGTGAAGCAGCACAGCAAACATTCCTAAGGACTAAAACGTAGTGTCCCGTGGCCCAGAAATGGCCCCCCAGCTGCCAGTTGGCCACCTCTGACCTAGATGAAACATAAAACATTTGCTTGCAGAGTTTGCAGATGACACAGTGCTGGGGTGGTAAATCAGGAGGAAAATAGGTTACTTTTACAGAATGAGCCACAGCACTTATGGAAGGTAATAATACATTTGGGATCAAAGAACGCAGGTTTTATCTATGTGGAACACGCTGAGGAGGATTTGGGGATCATCGTAAGCGTTTTAGTATGTGCTCTCCAGTGCGACATTGCCACCAACAGAGCCAAGGCAACCCATGGATTGAAAGACAAATTACAAGCAGAATTTGACTCTACACAGCTTTGGTGCAGTCACTGTTAAATCACCGTCTCTGGTTACTCTGTTCATACTTCTAGAAGGAGGTTACAACAGCGGAGTTTAAAGTGGATCCACAAAAGGGACTGAAGTAATGAAAAACAAATGTTTGAGATGGATAAAGACCCTCAGCCTATCCAGCTTACTGGAAGTTAGATAAATGCTATCTTGAAAAAAGATCTTGTAGTCTTACAGGAAGGAAAAGCAGTGCAACAACTGTGCTAGTGGAAACAGTACTCTGCATGGAAATCTTTGACATAAAACCAGATCTCTTTATATAATGCGTGTTTCTCAATTCAGGTTCCCGGGGAAAATTATGTAGCATGGGCGTGCTGAGAAATCAGACTGGGCGGTCACCTTCAAATCCCCTCTTTTCTGTTTTGGTTTTACTATTGTTTTACTACATTTAATGTGTGCAACAGTATGTGCTTGGGAACTAATAATAATAAAAAAAGTCTGCTATAGTTGGGCATAGCAACTGGGAATATCAGAGAAGGTGACAGATTGGGGAGTTTCAAAATTACTTCAGGTCACCAGTATGTGGCAGCTGTAAAAGACAAATGTGATCTGGGGCTATATCTGTCAGAGTACTTCAAGAGAAATGGGGAAGAACATGGCTCTGGTGCTTAGGAGATACTGATTCAAACTGGAACAGGTGCAGAAAAGGAAAAGGAATTTGAAGCCTACAAGAAGATACTGCAACATTGTGGCTTGTTTAACTTACATGAAAAACCCCAAGAAACCCAAACCAAAACAATCCAACAACCTCAAAACAAGAAAGAAGTCATGTTGATAGAATGGTTCTTTCTAAAATATAGACAAGAAAAAAGCTATTTAAGCTAAGGGACAATATTAGAAAAATAAATACTCTGTTACGAAATTTAGGCTGGAAAAAGGACATACATTAACAAACCAAGAATATAACCAGCTGTAAACTGGAACGCTGTAGTCTCAGAAAAAAAGGTATATATTATCACCAAAGCAGAAGATGCTGCCTGAAGACACAAGAGGTACTTTCCTGCCAATATTTCTAACAAAAGTCCATAATTTCAAGTCTGTGAGTTGAAGAAATGGGAATTCAGCTCTGAAACAAACATAAGCACCTGTTAATTAAGAGGACTTGTTTGTCAAATACTTATTAATGTACTGTGTGAGTTTAATTGCAGGTCAACGAACAAAAATGTTTTTTTTTTCCTCTTTTCAGATACCCTAAGTAGTAGTGTCAAATAAAATCGAGTGTGGATTTTGTGCTCATGAAGGTGCCAGATTGATAGTTCTTGAAGTCGACTGCCTATTGTCTGGTACTACACACACAGTGGCAGCAGACGCATCTTGCACACACAGCCCACGCCAGTCCTTTGCTCTCATCTCTTGGAAACAGCTGCCTGCCATTCCGTCCTAACTTCCACCACTTAGAAAATCAGCAAGGACACTGGTGACCTGCAACTGTGCTACGGAAACTTACCTACTGCAAACAGGAGCTAGATCAGCATGCACTTTCCACAGAAGTCCAGGAGCAACTACATGTGCTTAGCTACAGTGGTGCTACGTCAAAATGGGAAATTTAGATGCAAAAAGGGCTCTCTACCTCATCGGTCACCTTGATTATCTGAGTGCAGAGCTAAAAACAAAGCCTTTTCAACATCATCATTTCTCAAGAAAACTAGTAAAAGAAACGTAATGGCTTACAGCAGTTACAGCCCAATGCAGCGGACCTGAAAAACTACTGGAAGTCAAAGAAAATCCTCTAGCTGTCATCTCAAGTCCTTAAATTCTCACCTGCTCAGGACCCATGGAGGACAACCCTGATGTAGGCACAGAGGTCGCTGAGGTCATGCTGATCTGCCCTGTCATCTGGTTCATGTTGTTCATACCACTTGTGTTGGTTGCCATGGATACACTGATGTTCATGTTATTATTGTACATGCTGGTGCTTGCTTGCTGCCCAAAATGTGGTGGGGACTGTTGTGAAAACATGCTACAGCAAGGAATGGAAAAAGCAATGTGTCAGACTTAGAATGCTGAAGCCACTAAGAAACTACTCTCTTTTTAATATATCTTAAGCTAGAATTTGTATATACTGTCATTTATTCCAACTTCAAAGGAAAAACTAGTTTTCAACTGCATTAATGTCTAAGGAATAGATTTTCAAAATTTAAGATCTCATGTCTGTGCACAAAAATGCATGCCTTTGCGTGTGAAACTATGGCAGAGTACAAATCTGGTATGCGTGTGCAGTAACGGCCAATTAGCTGTCTAAATGGGCTTTGTATGTGTTTTAAATATGTTTGGGAAAGTAATTTTTTGAGGGAAAAGGAAAACACCTTTTTCCACCCTCCAGTGTTAGCACAGCACAGGACTATTGAGCTCAAATTGGATCTGGTCTAGTACGCTTTCTTTTTGCAAAAGAGGCTATTTGCACATATGAATACCAGATTTGCACATACAATTATGGCAAGTGGGCTCACAAATATAGACATGCAATTGTGCAGAAATTAATTTACTAAATCTTAGTATCAAGTTTTGAAAATGTAGCACTGTAAGAAACAACATAAAGTCTAAGACAATTACCCTCTATGTTCCTTTAAGGCCATTTCAGAACAACTTAAGGAGAAGTAACTATGGAAGTTCTCATCCCAGATTTTACTCAGTCAAGTGCTTTCTGGGAGCGTCTTCCTTTCAGTTATGTTGAAAGCCATACGAGTGACTTTTTCATATTTCCTAAAACACCCTTCACTATTTACACATCAGTCTTTTCTACTCTTTGAGCATAATCAACGGTCAATGAAGGATTTATTACTGACGATGTGTCTGTTTAGAGGATCTGCGTAAGACTGAAATACTGTGGAAGAGGTGCTGCGTGTTGGGTGGCACACAGTAACCACCTCTGTGTCAATGGCTGACTTTGACTTCCCTGTGAAGCACCGCTCCCACAGCTGAGGAAATCTTTCAGGGTTAATGCTCAACCTTGCGCTTGGGTACTCCATTAGGCTATTGCTGCGCACTGTGAGACTTGGTGGAGTGCAACGGCATTCTGGGCACAGGACCAAACTTGGAAAATCCCACCATTCTCTTCCTTCCAATTCCATGTCTTTTCAGGCCACCTAACCCCATTTTTAAGTTGTTATCTGGATGGCTGAAACAGTACACTACAGATCATTGTGAATACTCAGTGGCTTGTGTAAACGCATTTGACATGTCTCTACCGCAGAGCTGCAGTTTAGCAAGCCAACCATTCGCCTTATCGAGCTGCCCCTGCTGCCGTTTCAGCAGAAAGCCCAACAGCAGTAGCAGTAGCCTCCTGCAGATGCTTCAGGAAGACAGTGAGGAAGAGGCATGGACAAAGATGAGAGATAAATCAGTTGCTTTAAGGGGAACTTGGATCAGCCTCGTCACGGAAATAATGTTTTTCTGGGTTTATTAAATCTTTGTCAACCAGTGGGAAAACTGTTTGTTGCTGGGCTGGGATAGGAAGAGCAGCCCGAGAACTTCAGGATGACCAAAGCACTGTGCTAGGGACAACTGTGTGCACCCCACTGTCAAGTGACACAGGCTTTACACCAACTTGATAGCTCCTCCTGTCTTCCAATGAAAAGCACAGAGCGTTGTCATCCGGGAGCTCGTTGCTGCCTACTGATAGCGTTCGACACCCAACGCAGTCAATGTGGACAGACTGATTATTATTAGAGCTATACCGACTGGGGCACGGGCCTCAACTGAAAAGGTGATTGCATGCATGAGGCATGCTACAATGCTCTTGGAGAATGACAGGTATATGCTAACCTCCAGTATGTGCAAGCACTAATGGACTGAACCTTGTTGCACTCCAGCGTTTAAAGTGGGATGTGATATCCAGTCACCGCAATCCCAGAGCAGTAGGGAGCGCATAGGCTCTGGCTCAGCTGGTCCGGCCGTGTGGAAAGCAGTGTGGGAGCACATGAAAATCGTATGCAGAAGAAATGCATCCACACAAACGTTAGGGGCTGGAGCTCACTGTGCAGCAGAGGTGCTTCTTAAGGACACACAGTGTTTTATCAGTTATGACAGACAAAGCAATGCATTGTGTGGATGCAGGTCTTTTAGCTATGCACTCACTTTGCCTTGTATGAAGACAGAATTTAAACCAACTCGTCAAGCCAAATTGAAAAGAAATCTCTTTTAGGACAGATAGTTAACAGCAAACAAACAAGCAAACAATTACATATAAACAACCCCATAGACCATAAACGACCCCATTACACTGTGTGTTCATTTTGGGTTTTTTTGTGGATTTACCTGTTTCCACCCATATTCCCTTGTGCCCACCCATTCATCTCCGTAGAGGACTGATAGGCAGGATTAGCCTGAGACTGCTGGATCATGGGGCTTTGAGTATGAGCCAGTCTTGGGGACATCAGTGGACTCTGAGGAGTGGTGGCCCCTGTGAAGCCTGGATCGGGCTGCTGACTAATACCTGAAGAAAACAAGAAATTTAGCCACTGTACATTCAAAGTTAAAACAAGCCAAGAGCTCATACCTGCAGACATGTAACTTTACACAGTCCTACTTATCTCATGTGGAACCTATAACCTTGTGTTGCAATGTGGGATCTAGATTAAAACGCAAGACATCAGCAACTAATACTCATGTATAACCTTTAAAAAAATCATTTTGTGTAGGTATGTTGGCTACCTGTGTGTCCTAATCACATAAGCGGTCTCTCCTCTCTACAGACCAAAAGAAAAACACTGGTAAATGACTTTTTTTCCAGAAACTGCATTCAAAGCAATAAATAAAACATTTTGCTTCTGCCTATAAATGGTGAAAGTTGTGCATGACCCGTTTACTGCATGGCACTACCTTTTAACATTTAGGCTATAACTTTCAACTTTTTCTGAAGTTCCTAGAACATTAGTATCTCTATTTCTGTGTCCCTGCAAAAACAGGCAATGACATTTTGTGGGAGCATTTAATGACTTTGTAAAATTTAAAAAAAATCTATCTGCAAAGATAACCTAGTTTAAGCTGTTATATGCCAATTACGTGCAGAAATTTTGTTTTAAACCAAGTTGCTTGGTCTTGTTTAAGTTCATCATGAACAGCATGCTCAACAGAAACAAGCCACCCCTAATGCTGGCATAAGAATCAGGTGATATGAAATATATTCCTGTATTGACTCTCTGCATGACTTAACCTCTTATTGGTGTAAAAGATAACAGATCAATAAGAGTAGATAGCAAATTTAGAATTAGACGGGCATAATTTGTTGTATCAGCAGAACTTACACATTGCATATTATTTAATATAATCATAATATAACTTATACAATAGTTACAAATAAAGAAGCTGTACAACAATAACCATATGGAGGTAACTCCCCCATGCACCCCCACAAAAAAGCAGTATACAGCTTTATAAAACATACAGACAAAATGGTATTAGCTATCATATTGCACACAAGTTGTCAACTGGACAAGGTGTAATGGTTTTAAACTAAAAGATCTAAACTAGTCTAGATTTAGACTAGATAGAGAAAGAAATTTTTTACAGTGAGGGTGGTGAAACACTGGCACAGGTTGCCTGGAGACGTGGTGGATGCCCCATCCCTGGAAACATTCAAGGTCAGGTTGGACAGGGCTCTGAGCAACCTGATTTAGTTGAAGACGTCCCTGCTCGTTGCAGGGGTGTTGGACTAGATGACCTTTGGAGATCCCTTCCAACCCAAACTATTCTATGATTCCAAGTTCAAGCACAGGGCAGGAAATACCTAATCTGAAACAAATTGTTATTATTTAAACTCAATAGTTAGTTGCCAATTTTACATTATAACGCACATATGAAGTATTATCTTTTGGGGGGAAGAATCTAGCTGATACTTAAGCAATAACTCATTACCAAAATGGAAAAAAACCCCCACCAATATAAAAACGATTGAAAAGGATTATGTACAACTTTGCTTTTGATGAAGCTTCTGGTCACCTCATGCTGTTTGTCAGCATCAACTCATATCTTTTTCTTCATTTGCACTTTTTACTGTATATATTGGTTTGTTGAGTTTAGTCAAAACTCAGAAGACATCAAGCCAATACATACACGTGTATGTGCTCCTGTATGCATACACATTTGTACGTGTTTATCTGTATAGATATATGCAAATAAACACATCACACTTTGGCTATGGCTCAAAAAAAGATTGGTGCTCAGAGACTACGTGGCACTAGAGCCAGGGAAGTGGCAGGTACCGTGTCGCATTTAAGGACACCCAAGGGGCCTGACCCTCCACGTTTCCCATGGTTCGCAGGGAGTCAGGCAATTGGCTGTGGGAAGAGGGCTTGGACCCAGCACTGGGGGGAATACAGGGGATACAAGGACTGCTGAAATGCACGGGGGGGGTGGAACCAGTACCGTAGTTTGGAGGAAACGGGAACTGCTGCGCATTTGCCTGTGGGATCCGTGGATTGCTCATGGTTGCTGGTATGCCACCGGTGGCCACCATGCTGGGGGTCATGCTCAAGCCCTGCCCTCGCATCATCAGCGTCCGCTGCTGCACCTGCTGCTGCTGCTGCTGCATCTGCCGCTGCCGCAGGTGCTGGCTCAGGATCTCGCGCTGCCTCTGCGCCAGCATCTGCGCGTTGATAGGGCCCTGCAGGGAAAACCACCATCACCTATCAATAACGCCTTCTAAAGCAACCTGACCATTGCTCCACTGGAGCAATCTGGAAGATTCCAGCTCCTTCCCCCCACCCACCACACAACTAACGATAATATTAAATGCAAGAAAATAATCCTATTAATACTTCTGCTGCGAAAGACTTCCAACAGTGCAAGAGTCAGTAACTGAAATAATATCAGTGTTTAATGTTGCAGCAATTTGTAATTGCAAACAGAGTAGCTCATTAAAAAATGCTTCTTTAGGAAATGAGAAGCTTTGTTAAAAATGGAGTTATATCATATCTCTAGTAAACAACCATCCACCCCATGTAAATATGGGAAAGACTCTCAGAAATAAAACAGTGAAATACCTCTTATCATACAGACTGCATTATTTGTATTCAAGCTTTAGAATTTATTGTGTGTATTTACCACACAGCATCACTACTGTATTTAACTGGGGGAGAAAGAAGAAAACAAAGTTGTTTTTTTTTTTTTTTTAAAAGTACTATTTCTCTCACCTGCGTTGGCACTCCAGGTCTCAAAGACAGATTCATATTGGAGACACTGCTGATCTGATTTATCAGTGGCTGCCGATTCTAAAGAAATAAACAACCAACCAACACCAAAACCCAAAGGTTTTAGAAGGAAAACAACAAAAGGGAAATTTTATATACAGTGGTGCATCTATCAACTTCCCAACCAGTTGGTTGAGGACCTAGTTCTACATATTCAAGCAGGGACTAGTTTTCTGGCTCAAGTCCTATTATCATCCCCAGAATCCTGTTTCTTAAGGAGATAATACACCATACAAATAACAACTAAGCTGTTTACCAAATTACAGCCTTTACAGCTCTTGTCCTTTTTGAGTTTGAGATTGGACTGTTGACGTTTATTCTGAATTAGATCCTATCCTGATGTTTGAAGGCAGAAATGATCTTTCCTCCTCCACTAGAAAAGCACTAATATCTTATTTTTGGTACTATGTACCTATATATTTAAAAATAAAACAACAAACAACAACTTAAGATGGTCCTCAAAAGTAGACCAAGGCCAAGGAAAAAAAAAAAAAGGATGTAGGTATCAGGCAGCAATAAAAGCATTTAGATTGCTGGAGGAGTCAAGATACAGCAAACAGAAAAAAACCTTATATAACGAAAAGCACCACTGTAGCCTTGCTCAAAGAATTACTGAGACCGAGGCTTAAATACTAGGCACATTCTTGCCCTCTGTTATAGAAAGAATAACAGAAAGATGCAAAAAGAAGACCAAAAACCAGAATGAGTAAGGCACTGTCTTGGCAAAACTCATTATGGCTAGCGTTTTCAGTTTAAAAGTAGAATTAGGCTGTAATAAAACTGGGTACACACTTAAGGCTTGGTCTGTTTTGGAGCAAGCTGCCAGTACGAGCTGCCCAGGGGAGGCGCTTGTGCCAGCGTGAAACCGGGCAGGGAAGGGGGACGTACCTGCTGTGCCTGGAGCCTGTGCTGCAGCTGGAGCCGCAGCTGGTTTGGCTGGTTCTGCACGATGCCGGCGGGTCGGAGGCCGGGCCGGGGCTGCATGCGCAGGGCTGCGTAGCCCGGGCGCTGCCCCATGGGGTGGAAGTTCGGGTCCTGCATGGGCGCGTAGCTGCCCTGTGCCATCTGAGCCTGCGCCGCGTACTGCTGGGAGAACACGGGAGCCTTCTGCTCCATCAGGATGCTGGACTCCTGGCTGGGGAAGGTCTCTGGGTCGACAGCTTGGCTCTGCAGAAAAATGCGAATGACAGAAACAGTTGGTGGGACGTGGCTTTTCACGGGATTATATGAGACTCATACAGCCACCCTGCAAAACCAAACTTCCACCATGTGAATGGTTGTGAACAGAAAATTACATTAACTTTCTTTACCTACATATAAAACTTAAAACCAAATAGAATTGTATTTTTGAGCGTCAAAACATATTCATATTCCTCCTTTTATTTTTATTTTAAAACAAAGACCCACAATCTCTGTCATGTTCTTAACACAGCCATTGTATTATTCCACTAACGAATAAAAACCTGAAATGACAAACGCTATATTAAAATCTGTAAATGAAGTGATGCCAGCATATTTTTGCTATTGAATCCGAGATAAATTCAAAGACGTTACAAATGAATAAGGATAAGAAAGTATATTTCTATCAGTGTCTCTAAACAAAATAATGACTTCAAATAAAGATGCTAATGTGAACAGAGTGCCTAATTCTTTCAGGGCACTTTCACACAAACTGATTATCCATTAGCATAAAAAAGCTAACACAATTCTAAACTCCATTCTAGATACTTCCCTAATATTTGCTCTAGCCAGAATAATTTTATAGCTTATTCCACACTGACCTTGGAAATCAAGTTAATCTAAATTTCAGTGCCCTCATGAAAGAAAGACTTTAAGCTCCTATAAAATGTTTGATGGATATTTTAAAAAACATGTTCTAAAATCTGACAGCTCTCTTATCTGCAAAATTCTTCAACTGTTTCCACTGAGATATTAATTAAATAGAAATATATTTATCACTTAGTTTGAAATAAAACATTATTCATATGTTTTGGTGGTAGTGTTCCAAAAGCTACGTAATATTGCATGAAAGTTTCACACTGAAAAATTGAAGTTCACCAATAAATTGTATCTTGATCTTAACACCTCACTGAGTTCTGTATTGTACCAAATAGACTTAGAGATAGTTTCCTTCTGTTCAAAGCAGGATTTTATTGGTCCTATTTCCTAAAATGCAGAGTTAGTTCAGAAGTTATGCTCAGGGTGCTGATGAGTGCTGGGAAATGAAACGGGTATTCAAGGCTCCTCTGAGAACATTAAATCATTAGAGAGACATGTGAAGTTGCTTTTGGAAATGTAATTTTGATGCCAGAAACATCAAGAACTAACTTTTTCCCCAAATCTTTTTTATGTTTACCACATTTTTTTTTCACCACATAAGACTGAAATGGACAAGAACCAACTGGAAGCCAATAAAAATAACTTTGGGGAAAAAACAGGATGAAAAAGCATAGAACAATTTCATGCTGCAAAGTTTAGGAAGCATATTTGTAACTGAAAAAAAATATTACAGTTTTAAGTGCTTCAGGTGAAACTCATCCCTTAACCCATGTTAGTCACCTAAGGGAAAAACTACGGGTGAAATTACATGATACAGGTTTGCTCATCCAAAAGCTTGCTGCCCCCATCACACAAAGGTCTTGGTCTTGCTTCTCTGCTCCTAGGTCTTCATTTTTTTCTTCTTTCCTGTACCCTGTTGTTGGCCGTGATCTTACCTTTCTCCCACACAGTTGTTCCTCTGACCACTGGATAAGCAGAAGCCTGCTAATGTTTTGGGTTTTGGTCAGGTTAGTTCCATAAAGCGAAGTGGCTGACCGCAGGTCAGAAGAAGGAGAGCTTGGTGAAGCAGGGGAGAGGAAGGAAGGCTAAATCTGGGGCTGAAGGAACCTTTTCAGGCGACACTGAGCCTGGGTGGACACCCACCAAAATATGTAACTCCATCCTAGCTTGCAAGAAGTGTTGTACAATCCTCCTCTTCAACACAAATTGTACCTCCACCTCGACAACATATCCTTTAAACCCAATACCTACTACATGCAACGCAATGTCTGGTGTACCTGGCTAACTAGTTCTGGTATTCCTAGAGCCCTGTCGATTTCTTCTAAACCGTCAAAATTCCTTAATGCCATGTAAAGCTGATCCAGGAGAGCACCCTCATCACTTGGTGAGTCTGATGAAGGATGATTACACAAGAGATCATCTGGTGAGCTGCCAAACGGTTGCCTGTGAAAACATGAACACAGCGTTGGTAAACAGCTGCTGAAAAACAAGAAATAATATCAGAGGATTAGTACTCAAATTGAATTAACAAGTGGAGACAGAAATTATTTTAATGGCTGCCAATTTTGTTCAGAAAACTATTCTGGATAAAAGTTATGCTACCCAAAGAAATAACTAAATAGTGTGATTAATGCTTGTCAAGACCCTACAAGCACGGTGTGTCCGACAAGTGAGCAAGCACATCAAAGGTACACCCGAGTGCTGATTTCGTATTACGGGGTCAACAGAGGAACAGAGAAGTCAGCATAGAATACAGTCACTGAACACAGAAGGTTGATTAATTTTCTTTTAAACTAATTGTAACTTTGAATTTTAGATGTTAGATTAAGTAAACTGTCACAAGTAGAAGAACTCCTTTCCATAGACACTCTTCTTAACTGGTTTTCTGTCAGACTAAGCAAGTGGAAGAGGTCACAGAGGGGTCTGAGGATCGTTTGAGCTCACACAAACTGAACATCTGGAAGAGCTGGCCAGAAGCATGAGGGAGCAGGGAGAGAAGGACATTCCCCTTTTGTTTGCAGCAAAACACTGCATCAGCTCAACCTATCTTATGGAATTGCACACTTGGGTACCAGTGTATGGACTTGGTTATGTGCCTCAGAAGGGTGACAGCAAGAATTTGGATACTGTCAGGCAGAGTGTGCTGGTTCTATAAATCCTGCTGACCTCACCTTTGAATTTGTATGCAAAGCACACTCACAGTTACAAAGGCAGAATAAAGGTTTATTCCAAACCCGAAGGACAAAACTTACTCAGAAACAAACTAAATCTGAAATAACACCTTACCTGCAGCAAAACGATGTGTTTTGCAGTTCACATACATGCCCTACTTCACACACAATACTACAAGGCTACAATAGAAAATATAAAGAGCAAAGCATTCTGCAAGCAAGGGCAGCTACTATACACACATCACGGCAGAATATCATCCCAGATAATTACTCAGTGACAACAAAATCTGTCACACATGGAGGGAGGAAACAGCACTGTATGTGAACCCTTTTTACATGTCTGTTTGGAAAAACAAAGAAACATGTTTGTATATTTAGTTTCCATAATGAGATATATGGTTGCCATGGAAGTCTAATCTCTATGTCAAAGCTAAGCAGAAGCAGAGAGCTGCATCGTCAGGCTATACACCTAAAACCCCAAAGGATGGCAAGCAGGAAAACTGACAACAATGTATTCTTTTTAATTAGATCCTGGGCTGTAAAAAAATAAAAATAAGGATATATATGACATACCTTTAAAACATCGCAAAGTGTTAATCAATCTCATATAAAGAGAAGTTTCTATAACTCTCACTGATGGAATTACAAATCAGTAAAAAGGGAAGAGCAAAAAAAAAATCCTTTGAATCCAATTGCTTGCAAACTTTAAAGGTGTCTTATAAGAAGGAATCTATCATTTTGAAAAATAATCTATCAATGGGACTAGCGAAAAAACCTCCCTCAAATTGTAAACGGGCATGAATACACATGGTAAGAAAAAGTTTTAAATATTTGTCGAATTCTATATGTTAAAGTATAACAATTACTTTGTTTTTTTCCCCATTTTGTTCATATACCACAATGATAATGTTATTTTTTCCTCTAAAAGAATTACTTTTATTTATGATTTAACTTTTATCAAATTTAATACCAACAATGATAATGAGGTCATAAAAATACAAATCTCAGGGATTAATAAAATAAGAAATGGCAGCACCAAACAATCTGCCATCTCTGTTTCGGTGTAAATGGTCAAACTATGATTACTTTCAGATGCAACACAATGGGAATTTTTTTCACTGTCTCCAGCTACAAGGAAATTATGAGAAATGCAAAGGTAATAAAATGGAAGAATTACTTGCCTGGCCTGCTGATCAAACAGGGCCCTGCGTTTTATTTTATAGTATCATTTTTTAAGTGAAAAAATAAGTTACACAAACAGTGCTTTTGGCATATGGTCACCTTAACTGGGGGAGAATTAGCACCAGAAAACATCTTGAAAAGTATGAAAAAGTTAGAAAAGTAACAGAGAAAATGCCACACTTAAATTAACAGATAATATTTTTGGACATCCTGTCATAATGAAAATGAAGATAATGTAGTCAGAAGATTAATCTTTCTTCAAACACACTTTTTTCCAACTGCTTCCTCTTCATTTACTTTTCAGCACTCCTCCCCTTTACTTCTAAAAAATATCCCAACTCATGAAATTAAAAATATTTCAACATTTCTCCTTTATCTGTCCATTTTGTTTCACTTATCCAGTCCATATATATATATTTTTTTTTCTCTAATTTAAGCAACAAACTTTTTGGAAAAGACATGTCTTTTTTTAAAGAAGTGTAAATTGCTTTTCATAGTTATGGCATTATTTAGAAGTCTTCATAATGAACAAAGTTAATATATTACATATGAGTAACATAACTTGTGATCCATTTGTGGTTCTGGATACCAGAGAAGGAGTTAACTTCAGGGAATAGGCAGTCTCCATTTCCCTTCGCTTTTCCTTCCTCACTTTTTACAGAATTTAGGTCAATTAAAAACCCCCGAACCAAACAGAAATGAATGATGTCCTGCACTACTTAAAGCACTACCCCATTGCAGGAGAAGACAGCTATGTTATAACTACAAAGGCTCAAGCACTTTCCCACATTTAGGGTTAAGTATAATAGTTAACAATTAAAACCAGCAAAACCAGACAGAATCATGCCCATATTAATGCTTGAGAGGTGAAAATGGTGCAATTACCCAAAGCACTGGCAGCATGCGCTGTGATACAGAACTTCCAATTCTTCCAACACATTAAAAGGCAAAGAGAGTATTTATAAGTGTTACTGGAACGTGCATACATTTCCTGACCATCAAATACTACAACCATTAAATTGATGTATGCTTGGTGAATATGTAGAACACTTTGTTTCCATGAGATGTATAATACATAGACCTGTAAAATCTCTCCATGTTTTGATGTGACAGTAAGACTCACCTGTTTTGATTACCAAAAGTTGCCTGATCTATAGGCAAGATGCTGTCTGGCCATGGTGCAGTCTGATTTGGAGGTGCCTGTTGTTGGCTATACTGAGGTCCCCCTATGTTCATCTCCAATTCGGATGGCCCTAATAAATGAAAAATAACCACATAACTTTTGTGAAAAGAATCTACTTTCCTGCGAATTCTTTCCATTGAATTATCTATTTACAGTAAAAGCAAACAAAAACCATTAAGACTTCAGTAACATTACACTTAAAAGCACCGTGATTTTTTTGTTAGAAATTGCTTTTAAAGTTTGAGAAAATAACATGAGAACTCCAAAAGTGGTTCAAAACCATAAACCAACAGATGTGACATCATAGATGCAAAAACTTAGTAAGATAAGCGTAAGAAAAGGACAGTATATAGAGTAAATATCCTAATGTACTTGATTTAAAAGTGACCCAGAACAATGATAATGTTCCCAGCATTTCCTCTTAAAAAAATCCAATCTTTAATAAACAAGAGCAACTTCATATCCTCTTTCTTTGGCCACACCACTGTGGAGCTACAGAGTACCTGGAATTATATCAATACATGCATTGAAAGTTAGTGTTTCTACACACCCTCCTTCCCACTTCCAAAGGAAACTTTCACTGTGGGATACAGTACTCCTCAAATGTATAATTGAAATCAGTCTTTTTTTTTTCTTTCTCTTTTTTTTCTCTCCTGCTTCATCTTTGACAATCCAGCGCACGCCAAAAAGCACAACTTCACACATGCCCTGACTTACCCATATTCATGACCTGAGATGGAAGCATCTGCCTTGGGCCAGGCTGGTTGCTGGGTCTCAAGGGGATGCTGGCCGTGGGGTTGCGGATCATGCCTGCTTGCACCGGTCTGTTCATGGCACTAGCTGTGGGCGCGCAGGTCACCCTCACAGCAGGAGCCTGGCTTCCCCAATCTCCAGATGTCATGGCAGGCCGAGGGGCATTGCCACCGATCATTCCTGCACAAAAGACAAACAGACTTAGGTGCCGGCACATGCTTCAGAACAGCTTTTGCATTACAACTGCCTGATGAGCTGCATTTTTTGGCGAGAAAAATGCAGTAGTTTCACTCAAAGCGCATTGTACCACAACTGTCTGTCCAGATGTGCAAAGCTAGAGAATGATGCCTTATGCTGCTTAGTCAAGGGACTGGAGATTATTATGCATTTTACATGAGGAAGATCCTTTTACCATTTCCGAAACGCTGTTCAGAGTAAGCATTCCCACATGCAGTCTGCGACAGGTGCCGAGGGTGTGTGGATAGCCCTGACTTCCTTCCTCAGGAAATGAATCACGTTTGCTGATGTGTGTGTCAGTGCTTTACTTTCCAAGTGCTAAGTGAGAACGAAGACTTGAGTAACGACATGTTATCGCTACACACGCTTACAAATTAGAAGGACTGAATTTAAATTCGCATTCTGCAAACATCGTTTGGCAAGTCCTTTCATTCAGAACCGACGGCCTTCTTAGCTTCAAGGCTCACCCAGATAAATCTCGAACCAATATACAGTGCAGGGAAATTACTCACAGGAACTTTCCGATAGATGCTGAAGTTCATTACCGTTATTTTAGGGGAAGTCCTCCTACATCTACTGTAAACAACTGATACAGTTTATTTACACTTGGAATATATAGAGTACTACACTCTGACAGTAGCCAAAAAAACCCCAACCAAACCCCAACACAAAAACCCCCCAAACCCAAAGACGTGCATTCATAGTGTTTATACATTTCAATTTTATACAGTCAAAAGAGCAGATAAAACACTGATTTCAGATTGGACTACTGGTCTCTCCAGTTGCATTTTGCAACATCCTTAAATGAATACTAAAAGCCACACAAATAATTATTACTACTCAGTTCAGTTATTTGTTGATATATCCAAGGAGAAAAACCCTCTGAAGAGGGTCATTGTCTCAGCTGCTGTACAAAATTTGCTTCAGTGTTCCATCCTCAGGTTTGTTCTATTTGTGTACATATTCTATCAGCTGAAATATGTGGTGTGCTACAGCAAATGGCACGAACACAGATAATACTCTCTAACTTGTATACATAAGATGAATAACATCCTCTAATATGTATACAGAACATGAAAGTAATAGGACACTTGAAAGACTACAAGTTGACCTCTAACTGCTTGAACAGGATATTTCAGTGTCTGGCAGCATGTCTTTTTAATACTGATGCAAACTAAACATAAAATTTTGACAGTGAATAGCCAGCTGAAAGGACTTACAATGCCCATTTATTTAGTCACTCAGAGTTCTTAGCAGTTGTTGCACAAATAAGTCAATCAGACAGACTTTTCTTGGGAAACCCACTATGGTATCTTTGTACAATATTAGGGCATGAAGAAATCAATGCACCACAAATCAGGCATAATCCCTGACAAGAGGTAATACCACTGCAACACCTGATGGTTCCCAAAAAGTTTATGTTTCAGAAAATGATGAAAACATTAACATTTCTTTAATTTAAAATGAGAACTAAGGCTACTAAGTAAAGGATAACCGAGAGCAAAACCAAAGTCTGTAGAGATACACACATCATAAGGGCAATGGTAATGCCCACAATTCTGTTTCGAAATAACTACCCATACAGAAAAGTGGTTAATTTATTTGCTTTTTCGAGCCAGAAAGATTGGACTTTTACCTATCTAAGCCTCAGCTGAATCTGGAACATTGATGTGAACAGACTCTAATTGCCAATACACAGTGTTCATCTAGAAGCTTTCTGGTAGGTGAAAAGCAGTGCATAAAGAGCAGGACTAAAAATATGCAGAAACAGGAATTCAAAATAAATATGCCAATACATAAAAGCCCATGAAACATGCTTTTTTTCCTCAGACTTTTTGAAAAGTACTTATAATAACCTGCACTTGTCATAACCCCAGCATAAAGTTACACATGATATAGTCTGTTACTCAAGTATATTTAAAAAGATGAAAGTCATCTTACCTGTGCTACTGTTGCCTAAAGTTCCTTGATTTCCTATCATCCCTTCATTCCTGCCCATCAGTCCCGGCTGAGGTATCACTGAATAGGGGCTACTCGTTCTTATGGGTGGGAAAGTTCCTGCACCTGTTGGGTTCTGCAGTGTGATGTCAAGTGGTAAATTCTGGTTTGGTAATAACCTGCCCAGTTGCCCTGCTCGTGGGTTATTAAAAGCTAGACAGGAGGAGCAAAGAAGAAAAAAGCAAAGTTACAAGAATGGAAACTTTACTTGTTAAAAAAAAAAGAAAACCAAAAAAACCCAAAAATGAACCCAAACACACTTCAAGCTCTTGGGCTGAGCTATTTAATGCTGCATAATTTACCCACTCCATATCTGTCTGAGAAACATCCCTTCTCAACATTTTTATGTAAATTTTGAAATGGAACATTCTGACACTAAAACAGATATGACATATATTTTTAAAACTTTAAATGAGGCAATTTAACAGACAGAAGAACCACTACAGCAAAATATACCACTATGTGATGTGCATACTACTGCCAATTAATCTTATATCTAGTAGGACTCTAATTGCATGCAGATGTCATCCTGAGGCAGATTGTTAGGAATTATTTCAGTTTTGAAAGTTTTCTGGCATAAGCTGTGCCCCTGAAGACGTTACCAAAATTGAGGACAGACTGAGTCTATATCAGATCCTGCAGCTCCATTTCTAGATCACAGAATCATAGAATGGTTTAGGTTGGAAAGGACCTTGAAGATCATCGAGTTCCAATCCCCCTGCCATGGGCAGGGACACCTCCTCTCTTAGATCTCCCTCTTAATTTTTTTTTTATTTACATTTTTGTCATTAATAAAAATAAATCCTTCCATGACTCAGCAACAACAAATAAGCAGTCCAGAATTAGAGCTGTGCCACCGTAATATTCTGGTAAACAGAACCATCCTTGATGGCTACTGTCACCTTTACATAACTATTTTCTTCTGTTGAGGTGTTTTGTGCTCTTAAAATCAGCCTCTACAAAGAAAACTGCAGACTGTCTCAGAAAAGCAAGCTTCAGATCATGACTGGCATGCATCTGGCTCAGCTGGTCTTTGGGCAATGTTCCAATGCATGAAAGCATCCCCTATGTGCACAACTAGTTCTCACACATGAATCATACACTGACCTTGTGCCTGTGATTCCATTTCCAATCATACCAATAAAATACGTACAAATAAATTAACCATTTATGTGACAGTATTATTTGCAATACTTCCGGATAGCTTCCCCTAGGAGAGCCTCTGATATAACAGCATCCTTAAAGCAACTTCTGCATTTTTATATTCACCAAATTGCAAAGAAGTTAAACAAGTTCTTTCTTATTTTAGATCAAAGTAGCGATACTTTTGAATTTGAGAACTTAGATGAAGTTTGTTAAGCTTGTTAAAAAGCACAGAAACATCTTATTACAAAGGTCTCTGACTTTTCTTCTTATTTTATAAAATCAGACTACAGAAACTCATTGTATTTTTTTTTTGTTTTAACACAAGTTCTCTGCCAGGTGAATTTGCTTATATGCGTGTATAGGAAATACAACACATCACATACACTGAAATCCTAACCGTGAGATCAAAATTTTGTCTTGATTGTCTGTTCAACGAAGCAAACAAAGCTTACTTATGAGACAAAAATGACTTTCCCAAGCTTAGGGGCATCATAAAGTAAGGACTGAACCAAAACTGAACTTCAGTGACAGCTTCAGAACAGTTTGCCCCAGAAGTTTGAAAAATCACATAGATTAATAAGTTATTATATGGGTAGCTTTGCCAGCACCCGCTGATCCTACAAAAAGGAAAGCTCGAAATGCAGCACAAAATAGCAACAGTGTTGATGAGGTGCCATGGTGCTCAGATCACACCGTTCTACTCTTGGTCAGGATGGGACTGAAGGAGGCTCCCTGTCCCCCACGCAACAGACTTTAGCAATTTGGCAAATCGAGCAGCTTTTAAACACATAACAATATTTTATGTATTTTCATGTAAAACCGGTAAAATGAAAGTGGGTAATTTTTTCAGAAAAAAAAAATTTAAACCCCCAAACCTCTTTTGAAATTGTGTATGATTTGACATTCATTCTACATTGCTTTTCTATGAGCATATAAGAAGGCACTCACTATTTCTGTGCACCTGTTTGCTGTATGCTCTTCTACTGAAAACAAGGCAAAAGTTCCCTAGGGGAATCGGGCACAGACACAGGACTGAGGTGGCAGAAAAAGTTTTAGGGTTTTAACTTACATGGGAAACAGGATGCTGCTTTTACGGAACTGTTGCTAACCACCAGGACGCTCTCATTTACAATCATACTGTTACTGTACTGCCAGTAGCTTGGAAAGCCGGTTTAAAGCCAGGTTAACTCTGGAAAGCCAAAAGGCTACAGTGGAAGGAACCAGCAGACCTTGCTCCAGAAAGAATATGCTACAGATTTCAGAAGCACAGAGATTTCCTGCTGTCTTATGTGCTGCTCGTATCTCCATACTTACAAAAATGAGTACATTAAATCCAAGCATCTGATAACAAACGATCATTTAAGTATCTGTAGTAGTTTTAATAGGCATTTAAACATTAATACTGATTATTGATAGTAATAGTAATATTAATATTTATTTAAACATTTTGAAGTAATAATTTGAGTTCACCTGAAAGTGGCACAGTGTTATTTTAGTATCTTTAGAGTGGCAAAAAATATTATCTAAACCCCATGTTTTATAAAAAAACCCCACCAGTGTACATTCAAGGAAGTAAACAGATGCTACCATCCTAGCCAACAGGAGAAAAAAAATGAAACAGTGGCTTTTTATGCTATTTTCTTCAACATTCGTAGCCGATATGACTGCTGTCTTGCTCACTTTCCATTATTCTATGGTGGTAGACCAACATTTCCACACTGATTTGTGAGTTAATTAATAAAGTTAAGGAACACTGTCAGCTGGAAGTGACTCAATTAAAAGCCACAAATTCAAATTAAACTTGGCTATTCCTCTTAATCATATGCCTTTCTATTAATCTTGCGGTTTTAGAAGACGACTCTCCTTCAAGCCTCTCTCGTCCCTTTTACCAAAGGAGCTGCTGGAAAGGAGCGATCTGCATCACGACGACATGCACGCCCTCCCCACGCCAAACCCCCCTGCAACAGCAGCATCACCTCTAACCACAGCAGGGGACGTTTCATTTATTTTGAAGGTACCCCTTAAAACTCCTCAAAAGGCACAGAATTCCAGGGTGCTGAATGAATTAGACATAACCTCCACATGTGTTTCAAAACAGGACGACCGCAGATGGCGCTATGTCATCACGCAAGACCAGAGCAGGACCAGGAGCTGCCCGGTTCCTCCCCAGCGACCCAGTTGTACCACCACCGCCGCCACCACTGTTTTGGGGGTTCGCAAGCATTGCCGACACACGCGCGGGAAGGCGGACTCACTGCTCTGTGAAATCCTCATTGCTGGTTTCTGGGTGGCCACAGCCGTGCCGGGGCTGCTGTCACTGGTGAGCTGCATGAGGTCATTGATGATGGCTTGCTTGTCGACTGAGCCCGCTGGCGCGCCTGGGCGGCTATCTGGGAAAAGCTGCGGTAACTGGCTGTTCTGCAGGTCATCCAGAATCTCCTCCAAGTTATCCAATTCACTGCCTGGCTGCAATAAAAAAAACAAACAACCACAAACCCACAGTACAGGTCGCTGCTCGCCTGCTGTCGGCGTCCTGCTCGCGCCGAGCCAGGCACCCCACAACCGTTACGCCCGCACCGGCTTCGGATGCTTCCTGCAAGAAGCCTGATGTGGAGGAAGCTCGCAAAGTTGTTGAAAGGGGACTGTGCAGGCTTCCCAGGGCTCGTCTGCCTTGCATTTGGGGAGCCCCGTGTGGCACTGGCACCCCTTCAAAACCCCATCATCGGGATGTACAGATCCACACGATCCATACGTCGGGCAAATGGGAGATTCTCCCTGTGAACTCCGTGATCGGTGCAGACAGCAGGGATAATTTGGCAGGGCAAGAGATCCAACAGTGATGAAGGTGGGGGTTTATATATGTATAACCAATATTCCTTTCAGCACAGTCATATTTCTAGTCTCTTTATGACTTGATTAAAAGCATACGATGGAAAAGTTGCTTCATGGCTAAAACAATTCCCCATACGCATTTTCTTTGTCACATTCAAAACCTTAACACTGAATAACTCTACGTATGTTAACTTGCAAGAAATACACAATTCAATCGAGTTCTATAAATTAAAACCTGTCAACTAGTTACTAGATTTAGGAATTTATTTTGCTCACAACATTCCAAATCACTGAAAATAACTTCTCTACAATAAGAGAAAAAAAAGAGACATCTAGTTACATTCAATTCAGCAGAAAATTATCATGAAATAAAGATGGGAAAAAAAATAAGTTCATCCTATACTAACATAAATACTGACCTGCATGTTTTTCTTACAAATGTTGATTTTCACCAGTATTTTTTTTTTTGGTCAGCTTCTCTGTCTATAAACCCGCAGAAATAAAATCTTTGTCTGACTGAAATTTGGAAATCATTACAACTATCATCTCCAATCTTAAACCTTTAAATAAGGTAAAACTCTTTTGGGTAATAATTACCAACAGGCAGTCCAGTCTCAGTTACCACCAAGTTGCCCAGGAAACATTTCATGACAGTATTTATAACAAAAACCTACTCAAAATCAGTGCCTTCATTAGGAAAAATGCAATGACGGAAGGGAGGCAGTGAGCGAGCAGCCAGCCGTGAAGGATGGGGAACCAAGAAATACCACCACAAACATGCACACAACTGAAATACAATTCTTCCTGTTCTTTTTTGTCCTACTGCCACATTGTGAACTTGTTATTTGTTGAGAACAAGCTTATGCCGCAGATCACAGGATAATGTAGAAATACCTGAGATGGGGCTTTAAAACTACCTACTGAGGTGCTCTCAGCCTAGCTTGGAAGCGGTGTACCTTAGTCTGTACTAAACTCCTGCTGCCACAGCTAACCTGCTCCTGGGAAGCCCGGCTATTTTATTCAAAGGTAACTAAGATGACTCAAGGTTACATGTCTACATACCTTTTTTGGATGACTGGTTGCAGATAAACACGGTACTACTCTTTACTCCTTCCACATCACCGCCTAGTCTTACAGATCAGAATATATGGTGCAAAAGAGGATGGATTTTACTCTGTTAAAAAGCAGCATGTGGGTGGTCTGGAGGCTGGTGTTATTGGCGAAATGGTAGGAAATCACAGAACCAGAGGACTGGAAGAAACTTAAAGCCTCAAGGCAAAATTAGCGTATGCCATTCCCTACAGAAGTTCATATAGCCTCTTGTTAAAGACATCCAGTGACAGAAAATACACAGCTTCCCCGGGGAATTGGTTTCAGCACTCTGCCATCCTCACTCTTCGAGTTTTCTTCCTCAGTGTCAATGCAAAATCTCCCTCACTGAAATTTAGGCTCTTCCTTCCTGTTGTATTTTGAATCTGGAGAACAAATTGTGTTTCCCTTTCTTTTTCTAGCCTTTTCTGTATTTGAAAACATGTGCCTTTTGGGGTTTTAAGCTGAAGTTAATAAGCAATTTCAACGTGTTAAATTTTCCTCAGCATATAACCTGTTTTCTAGACCTCTCGTTACTCCTGTGGACTGTCTTCAGTTGATCCATACTTTTGCTGAAGTGCCGTGTCCAGAACAGGATTTATGATGAAGCCTTACAACTACCGAGTGAAGCAGAAAATCTGCTCTACACATAGTACTCTCTGATGGCATATTCCAGAAAAGTCTGTGATTTTTTAAATTACATGGCATTACTGACTCTCACTCATCTTGTGCTCACTATGATCCCTACACACAGGCCTGAAAAAGTCCTATCTAGACAGTTTTCCCCTCCTTTTTTTTTTTTTTTTTTTAAAAACTCTGTGACATTAAACGTGACTAATTCTAATAAATAACATTTGTTCATCCTGAATGTTCTCCTAAGACTTTTCCTCCGTATCTCCTGGTTGCAGCTGAATTTGAATTCTGTCCTCCAGTGTATTTGCACACATCGAAGTGTCACACGCAGCTTTACCAAGCATACACTCTATTCTCTCACCGGGTCATCTAGGTTAACTAAAACACTGAGCAGCTCTAGATGCTGCACAGACTCCTACAGCATCACCATTTTGACAGTGAATCCTTAAATAACTACTTTGTGTGTAAGGATTTCCAAACAGCTTCCTACCCACCCACTGCAGTTTCGTCTTGACCATGCGTCTCTAATCTGATTACGAGAATGCCACGCGTAAGAGGGCCAAAGAGTCTTACTCAAACCCAGACAAATGACATACGCTGCTTCTCTTATGCCAAAAAGCCCACTACCCTCTTGCAGAAGGAAAACAGGTTGGTCTGACATTCCCTGCTCTTGACAAATCCCCCCGCTGACTCGCTGCCTTCCAGGAACTTCAAAGCAGTTGGGTGGCCACAGCACACCAACAGAAAAGGTAGAGGCAGGTGGAATCAAATGTGATTATGAGAAGCCTAAATCACTGCGCAGGCAGGTGATAAGCAGATTCAGAAAGGTGCTCTGAGAGACAGTTGTGAACGATGTTTATAGGAGCCACATTTTGAGCACCGGGAGATCTGATACAAGAAGACTGCAAGAGCCAGTAGAGGAGACTGATGCAGGCAGGGTATCATAAATTATAGAAGGATGATTCAGTACTCTTTGGGGGAATGAAGACATACGGCCTTCATTAAACATATTTGAGACAACAGTAAAGGGAAGTTTTATATGTTGGGGGGGGTGTGTGTGTTTGGTTTTGTGCAGGACTTTGCGTCTTCCCCCCCTCCTTTTTTTCCTAAACATTCTGGCTACTGCAATTCTTTGTTTAAACATCAGATGTAAAAAAAAAAAAAGAACCAAAACAAATCCAAAACAAAGTCAGAGAAGAACATATTGATCCAAATGTGTCAGAAAACTGCCCTCCACAAGATGCTTTTAATTCCTCTCAGGAAGTGGCAAAGAAAGGCCAAATACAGCAGATGTATTATAACACCACAAATACATAACCTTCCTTTTGTTTTGCTTAACAGAATAAATACCAAATATTTCATCTTTACTTTTTGATGAGATGAAGGTTCTCAACTGATGCAAAAAGCTCCAAGATTGATGCAGAATTAACACCAAGCTATGATGCAAGCTTAAGTCTTTCCAGACCCACCCTCAAATGGCACCATATGCACAGAAACTACCATTAAAATATTTACTTGGTTAGTTTCATAGGATTTTTTTTTATTTATATTCTATATTTATTTTGTTAATGGTCTAAATTGAACTTTATGTAAATAGAGGGCACGCCTGAACCTCCCTGTAAAACAATTATTTGTCATGAATTAAAAAAAAAAAAAGCTTGATAAAGTGCTAAGCATCACAAGAAAGTTCTCGTGCACATATTTTCACTATCTTTAAGCAATGCAATTACAACAATCTCTGTAGAGCTTGGACACTAAGTGCCAGAAAGCATAAGACAAATTGTGCTTAGAAATATTTTTGCATTTGAAAACGTACCTGCTTTCAAAGTACTTATCACTGTTATGTAGAGAAAGGTAGATTAAAATGTTAATTGCTTACAGAATTTTTTTCAGCTCTACTGAAAGGCAGTTACACCTCAACATGAAGTTTGGTTTACAAAAGTTGCTATGTCAAAGTCTAGCTTCCATGGATTGTGAAGGACTGGATAAGATCCTAAACTCTCTGGAGATCTCTTTTCCACTCCAGGCAATGCCCATGGCTTGCACCGAGACCCTGTATTCCAAACTTCATACATGTATACATTTCCTTTATGATCTCTTCTGACAGAGGCCTCTAGGACTTTCTCCTTACAACAGGATGTCTTTTGGTGGGGACGCAACTTGAAACTATCCCTGCCTTATATAAACCCCAAGTTAGCTCATTAGCTAACTCCGTAGCATGGGCAAAACATTGGGCCATACAAGGTAAACAAAACCAAATCCCTGCTCCAAACTGGCCATAAATTAAAAGGATTAAAAGCAGTGAAAAGTAAATCAGAAGTGGAATCAATATAGTCTTTTTCTCCCTGCTAACGGCAATAAACATACAATTGGCTAGAAATCCTGTTATCTTCTCAAGCTAATCTATTACTAACTTCTGGAAACAGAATTCTAATTGAAAGACATTCAGAAAATGGAATCCCCATTCTAAGCTTTTGATAGAATTTCAAGAAGAAACCAATGTTCTTCAATAATTTAATAGACTCTGGACATCAAGAAATAGGTTTTTTGGAAGATGAGGGGCATGTCCAAAGAAAAGTATTGAGAAGATACTAATTTCCACATAAATCAAGAGGATAGCAGAGTTGATAAAGCATGTGAGGAACACCATAACAGTTTCTTGAGTTTTAGGACAAAAGGGTACATGCTTAAGATGATTTCTGGAACGGCACTGGTGGAGACTGTGGCATCGCAAAGTCCCTGTGAGACAAACAGGCTGTCTATATCATCTACTGGCTAAAAAAGAAGAGATACGGATTTTATTCCACACTACGCCAAGTACTTTCTCCAAGAATAAGCTACTTCAAATTTCTACATCTCGGTTTCTTCATGTGTATATGAATATAGTAATCCATACCCAATTTTATAGAAGAGTTCTGCAGTGCTAAACAACACAGATAAACAAAACGTTGCTTTAGCAAGGCAATACCTGTCATTGTCAGGGCATGACATTTCTTGGACCTAACCCTTAGACTTTCACTCTCCTTTCCCCAAGCTGTTAGCCATCCCTTGTCAGATTTGACCATCTGCTGACCACTACACAGACTGCTCCCGACCAGCGGCAGCGTGTGCTGGCTGAAGCCAGAAACACGAGGGGTTTTTTTTTTGAGAGACAGCAAAAACAGCGGGGCACAGGGAAGGAGGGTGCGGGGTGAAGTTCCACCACAGCAGCTCCACAGTAGCTGGTGGGCCAGCAGGGAAACGTAGGCTTGCTGCTGAGGGATGCCCTATAAAACAAATCTGTAGCAAATCGGGAGTCGTGTTGCCACTGCCTTCCCTTTTTAATAGTGGAGAACGATACGGGCACTCGTGGTGCTTGATAGCAACAGTCCTACTACTGTTGGTACTGTAGGAAAAGCTCCGCTGAGCCTCCCCAGCAGGTCTCTCTTTCATCCTCTCCCCCACGGCTGCCTTAACTGGAATAGCAATCAGCCTAATAGAGCTTGATAACCATCATCCCACCAAGGAAGGGAAAAAGGTACGGCAGCACTGGAAATATTCTCTGCTATTTGAGAAAGGCTTCCTGTCAGTTGCTGCTCTCTGCAGAAGTGTATGTTTAAACACACTACCTAGAAGACTGCTATTTTTAGTACAGTGGTGCACTTCAAAGCATTTCCTGCTCAGAAAAGTCACACCAAAAGTAAAAGGAGAAAACGTAATGGCTCTGCCGCCTCCCAACACCCCGATCCCCCTTGCGGAGGCCATCCCACTGCCGCTCTGCTGCAGTTTCCAGAGAAATTGCACACTCCAGTGACTAATTACTTAAAAATACAGCATTCCTCAGGGAGGAGAAGTTTTAAATAAACCTGCAAAATAGGTAACACAAGCACATGGCTAATTTTTACATACGGGAGGAAGAAGGGGGGAGGACGGGACGGGACGCAGGAGGATGGAAGAATTTAGCACAAGAATCTGTGTTCTAGTCTTGTACTAAATAGTTCCAGCTTTGATCTAAATTTAGGCAATGAGCACTTCCTGTGGGAGACCATCTTCCAAAGCTCAAGAGTTTTTGATGCTAAATATTTTCAGTGATTTTATAATTGGGGTAAAGTGGTTATTTGTTTAAAGGCCTAGCCTTCAGCTAGATAAACGCTTACATTATTTTACATTCCCCACCATTTCCTCTCCTACTCCAGGTTGGACTTCTCCTGTTTATTCAGCTCCAGGTCGCACTGCATTTTAAGTAGGTTTTAAAACGCTATTTACAACAAACAGGAGCAACAAAAGCCCTTCTGTCATTATCCAGCAGCCTTCCATCACAGCTGCGGGACTGGCTTCTCCTTACATCGGCGCTGAGGAAGCCCCAACACTTCAGCCCTTACCACTTTGTCACGACTCCTGCACTGCTTCGTGGTTTTCTGAACAGCCCCAACTCCTGGCCCTTCCTGTACTCTCCAGTTCCCCCCTCTCCTGGGAGACAATCTCCGTTCTCAAATTTGAAGAAAAGGCAATAAACATCCATAGCCCATACTCCAAGCCCTTCAAATCCCTCCCCTGACCTCAGAAACACGAAGCCTAAAAATAAAAAATGAATAGACTATTCACTTTACAAAGTTCATAATACTGGGGACCTGATTTTCAAATGCTTGAGGCTGGCCATGCCTGTAGACACTGAAATCTCTTTCTTTAAAGTTAGTCTTATAGTTACATGTTTACATTTAGGGTGAGACGCAACTTGCCTACCTTTAGTCATGAAAAAGTATGACAGCTAGTTTAAACTAGCCATCTAGGCTACCACTAGTCAATGGAAACACCACTAGAGAGCAGCTTACCTTCCCTATATTAGACACACATTACGATAAGATAAAAAAAAAAATCCTGGAGTATTTTTCTATTTATCCATTAATGATAGGAGGAGCTTGTATGACTACCTTGGAGTAGACAGCTAACTTCTAGAGGGAACAAAACCTGCTCTTTGTGAATGGGTTCACAAGCTAAGCTGTTTCTTGTCTACTCCAGAGATCATCAAAGAGGAAATATTAATTCTTTTAGAAATTTAATTCTTTGGGAGTACACCAGCTGAAGGCCATGATTTTGATCTACTTAGATGGACATAACTTTTTTTGGTGATGACCAAATTCTAAGTTCATGTCCAGGATCAAATACTGAGGACTGAATGATCTCTGCCTTCAATCCAGTATTGACTTCAACGTGTAGGATCTGAACTAGGAATTGTAATTTATTAGATATTTTTAAAAAAGTTTATTCTTGCCAGTTTAGCTGTGAAATTCTTGATATCTGTGTTTTTCTAGCTTAACAAAGCATCAGCTCTCACAGAGAATCTAAGCCCTCCCTCTACAGGCACTACAAAATAGCAGCTGTATTCAGAATTAAACTAACATCCAGGCTTGAGCATAAATCCCTGTAGAAATTAGTGTAATTTGGCTCCGTTTCCCCCTAAAGCATGGGAAGGATTGACAAACCACAATTGCTCCTACATAATGGCAATAGCTGTCAAATTCTGTTGAAACAGAAGTAGTGAAGTAACCTTAGGAGATGCCTGGATAACTGAGATTTTAACAATGCTGCTTCCACACTCTAGTGGCATGTTTGGCCTCTATGTTTTGTGGTTATAACCACTGTTGAAAGAACTGTCTACTGGTTAGAGACTGCCGAAAGGGCAAAGTAAAAAAAAAAAAAAATCCAGTGCTGTGACTTAGGGCTAAGAAAGTGTTGCCTATCCGTCCTCAGCCTCAGTATATAACATAGAAAATATATATAAAAAAAGATGTATTTGTTTAAACACAATAATTAAAATACTATAGATTCACAAAAATTAACAAGTTCAAACCCAGTTCGCACATTAAAAATACACAATATTTTAAAAGTGAAGGATATGGCTGTGAATGAGAGAGTCATGAACATTTGCACAGTGTATGATCTGATCATGATTTACAAACTAAGGCTTCATGCACATGGTACTGCCTAGGGATTAATGACCAGCTGGGAGAGTTGATAGTGTAGGACAAAGCTAAGGATCATTAACTCCAGCTAGTTATGAACTCCCCAGAAAATGCCTTACACTAAAATTGATATTGTAATTACCCATTTTATAAATAAAATAAACAGTAATATTGAAGTAGCAAATTGCTCTTGCTGTGTTCCTTTTTCTTGCAAAGCTCTGAAAACTGAAGGATTCTAGGCAATGTGAAACTGATGCTTTTTGAAAGTGAATTCTGCATGAACGCAAGTGAAATAACACTTTTTAGCATAGGTCCTAACAGCATACAGTTTATTAGTATGTTGGGCAGCAGAGCAACAAGCAATCTTGCACAGAATGCAAAGAAATTCTGAATGCAAAATTCAATGCAGATAACCTTGCACAGGGAGGCATGATCGTTGCACTGAACAATTAATCACCCATGGGAACTTGGGGCTGAATATAAAAAACTTTTAAGTAGAAAAACCCAAACAACAACGACCGCCCCCCCTAACTGGCGCAGAAATGAGGGAAGTCTATATGCCTTGATTTTAATTTGCAGATCAAGTATACCACAAAGACCAGTAATGCAAAGTTGGTACCAGTCCTTCCAAACAACTCCTGTCCTTGAGCATGAACCTGCTTTACGTGGGAGAAGTGTAGTTGTGGTGCTGAGCTAGGTCAAGAGCCCCCTATCCCACGGCAGTTCAACAGCAGCCTAAGAAATGCTGTAAATAAGTTAGCATTAACCTACAGTTATACAGTTACGAGTATTTTTCTCTTTGTCTGACTACACTGGGAAAGGTTCCTACGTTCCCAGAGTCCCTACGTTATCCGTCTCCTCCCTGGTAGATTCTGTTCTTTTAGAGAGAGTGATGATCACAACTTAGTAACACCAACTGGAAAACTGAGTGAAGACTGGATTTCAAAAGACAGGTAATAGCCTCTAGAAGTGTCAAGAAGTTACTCTTAGAGGAAGTCAGATGGCAGGAA